TTCCCCTTCCCCATGCCTGCTCCCAGGGAAGTGGGCAGGGAGGGGAAAACTATTCTCCCACTGCACTGTTGCCACTGTACCTGGTTGAGCCCAGCCCCTTGCTGGGGTGGGAAGAGTAGTTCTGGAGCTTCCCTTGTCCCCAGGACAGTGGGGAAAGCAGCAGAAACAGGCAAAGGAGGAGTGGGGAGGGAGAGTTCACCTGCTTTAGTGGCTTAAAAAATTTTAGAGGCTCCTGTAGTGCATTCCAATTCAAAAGCGGGGTGGTGGGGACAGCTGTACCACTGCACCCCCTCTGAATCCTCCTCTGGGTAAGAGCAATGCTGGAATATTGCCTCCAGTTTGGGTGACTGCCTTTTTAAGAAGGATATGAATACATCGGTGAAAGCACAAAAAAGAAAAATGAAGAGGCATGATTTGAGAAAGTGCCTTACAGCAAGAAACTTAGGAAACTCAATCTGTTTAGCTTGCCAAAAAGATGATTGAGGGAGGACTTGATTACAGTGCTGAACTAAATCCAGAAAGAAAATACCCAACACTAAAGGGTGCTTTAATTTATCAGAGAAAGGTGTGAAGAGAACCAATGGCTGCAAGCTAAAGCCAGACAAATCAGAAATTAGGCATGAATTTTTGACAGTGGAGGTGAAACAGACCAGTGGAACTAACTACTAATTGTGGGGTTGTCACATTGGTGACTTCAAATCAAGAATAGACACTATGCTAGAAAATGTATAACCCACTTGTAAGGGTGGCTTACAAGTTATTCTATGGACCAGCCTGTAGAAAATATAAATTGTTGCAGACCGTGCCTACAGAGTAAAATGTAAACTTCATGCTTTTCAGCTCTGAACACCCCCAGTTCAGTCCTCCATGTACAGGCCAAGAGGGGACGGTCCCACATTCTCTAGGCATAACAAAGTTACTGGGATCAACACAGGGATAACTGGGTGAAATTTAAGCATCTGTGATATATGTGTGGCCAGACTACATGATGTAATGGCCCTTTCTGACCTAAAATGCTATGAAAATAAATTATTGCATGAAAACCTGGTTGTGTGGTGAGAATTTGTGTGTTTGGGGACCTTTTAAGCTTAACCTTCTACTGAACTAAATTATTTTGTATTTTTCATGTGTATGTCTAGAGGAATTGAGAAATCTTTTTTTTAAAACAAATTGAACTAGATATGTTTTTTTGGGGATATGCCCTGGAAGATTATAGCTCCATAAAGAAATATTTGGCGCACAGTCTGCTCTCATATAGATTAAAAGGAGGGCATATGTGGAAGAAATCTCTCTCCTTCCCTCTCTCTGTCCATCACACACACACACACACACACACACACACACACACACACACGCTCTCAGATCAGCACACTAAAAATTCAAAATGCAACTCTCAGCTTGAACACACAGAAATTCAAATGCAAATTTGACATCTTTCAAGTTTTCATGAGTCTGAGCTAAAATAAAATGGACACATTTTAAGATTATTGTTGTCTATTTTGTGGGACTCAACACAACTGATTAGAATAGGGGAATCAAGATGAGAGGCAGTTGTAGCATTTGGTGGCCTGTCAGGGGTGGGGCTGGCAGCTGCATGTTAATTGTTCCACCCAACAGTTTGGTTATGGATGGACCCAGTCCCTATTGAAGGAGTACTTATAACAGGAAGAAGTTCTTCCTGCCAAATCCTGCCAATTTTAACAGTTCCTGCTAGATACTTCTTTCTCTTCCTATATCTTACCTTTAAATGGTGTCGTTCCCTAAACAGGCAACCCCCACTTAACGCTGTTTCATTTAGCGCTATTTCGCTATAACGCTCATTTGAAATTGATACCTGATTTCACTTAGCGCTCAGCGAGTTTCATTATAACACTCATGGTCACCATCTTGGGTCATCAAATACTTTTGGTTTCGCTTAACGCTCGTTTCACTTAACACTCAGTTTTTCAGGAACAAATTAAGAGCGCGAAGCGGGGGTTGCCTGTAGTACTTTGACGAGCTTACTTTCTGACATCACATTGCATTCTATATGTAGTCATTTCAAAACTGGAAATTACCTTAACTGTAAATAAGAAGATCGTAATCTAACAGAAAGGAAAGAGAGGCCAGGAAGCACAAAAGCAGCATCATGGGTGGTGTTAGCACCAAGTTTTCTACTCAGCGGCTATATCTAGATGTGTGGTGGACTGCACAGTTGTTACTGCATGGTCATTTAGTATTTGCAGATGCATAGTACTAAATGACTGTGTAGTAACTGGCATTACTTCACAGTATGGTCACCACACAGTTTTTGCCCAATGCTACTGCACAGTAGCTCATTACTACTACATGGTATCATGACCACATGGTTAGTGCCCAGCAATACTACTGTGCCATAGCATCTCATGTAGATGCACCCATATTTGTGCCACTGCTAGCTATCCCCAGGTATGCCTCTGCACATGCACTCTGGTGCTCACCAAATTGCACCAAATGGGGTAGGAGAGGCTGACCCCTTACTTGGGGTCCTGGGGGCCTCCTGGGGTTCCAGCAGTGGCTAGCTGGGCATGTGGAGCCTGGCCAGCAGCCAAAGCATGGTTCGGGCCAGTCAGGCTCCAGTGTTGGGCAGCACATGCTGCAGCCATGTGCACCGCCACACTTTTTTTCTGGCACAGGGATTTTAGATACCAGGATTTCCTGGTATCTAATTTTGGCACTGTGCTTCAAATATGCAGCACTGTGAATGGAATCACAGCCTCCATGTATATTTTGCGGCACCTTAAAAAGCTTTGAGCCTCCACAAACTGCACATTCCCACTTATGGGAAACCCATTCTGTTTATTATATTATCTTTAAGAGGAACAGTCTGAAATTAAAAAAAAAAAAAAAAAAAAACAGCCTGCATTAATAAAAGGATCATTTCCTTACATATGCAACCAATAGCATGTTAGATTATTAGAAGTGAAAAAAAATTGGGGGAAGCAAAAGTTAACAGGACTACTTTATTTTTATTGTTCAAGCAGAGAGAAATGCCAAACCCAAATGTCCTAATAATGGTTTCTGCCCCCCCACCTCAATTTTACTTTCTGGGTCTCCAGTCTTTGCAGAGTCCTGCATTGTTTGGGGTTACCAGAAACCTCCCCATGTACAAATACACATGAACCTCCTAGTCGAGGACTGCATCAAAATGGAAGCAAGTGAGCACAGCTGTTGTGCAGGAAGATAGACCGAGAAGACAAGAAGAAGATGGAGGAAGACACATGGAAAAGAAAAGAATGGTACAGACCTCTGGAGAAGATGACAACGAGGAAAAGGAGACTGATGATGACAGAGAGGAAGAAAACAATGAGGAGAAAGAAGACCATGAGGAAAATGGGGACTTGGGGTGGAGCCATGAAAAGGCTGGGGAGAGAGACAGAGGGGTTAGAGGAGGAGGAGTGCGAGGGGGAAGGCAGATGTGGAAGCAGTTTGTGTGATTGTAACAGTTAAAGAAGGAGATGGCAAAGGGCACGTTGGAGTGTGGGTGCATGGTTGCATTTATTGTAGTGGGGATGATGACAGTCAACTGTAGACGTGCTATAGACAGTCAAGTGAACTGTGTTGGTCATAAGACAGGATGGCAAAGGTTTAGGTTGCATATATTTTGCAAAAAAAAAAAATGTTTGTACTATATATAAGTAATTACCAAAGTGCTGCTTAAAAGTGTGTTTATGGAGTAGCTGTGCTAAAATTGGCAGCAGTGTCAAAAAAAAGGTAACGTATCAATTCTGGATGAACTAAGTCAATCGGTACTATATGCAAATTACTAGTTGTGTTTAATTTCAAGGTCAGTGTTTTCAAATTTGCCCCTCAATTCTATGTGCTTGGGGACAGCAGGGTCTGACAGCAAGGAGGGGATGGGGAAGGGGTTGCAAAGGTAAGGAAGTGGAGAGAGGGAGAGAAGGAGGGAGGGATGGAGGGAGGGAGGAAGACAGAGGGAAAGGGGGCTACCTGACCACCCAGATGTCTTTTCCCTGCTGTAGTAGTAGGCGGGGAACAAATTCAAGACAAACTTCAAATAATTAAATTCTATAGCTGTAAAATTATAACAGATATATACATTTTCCATACATAAAATCTAATTATTGGGGGTTCATCTTATAGTCAAGTAAATTCAAGGAGGTGACCCTCCCCCTCTATGTGACATTGGTCAGGCCGCAGCTGGAGTACTGTATCCAGTTCTGGGCACTGCACTTCAGGAGAGATGTGGACAACATGGAGAGGGTCTAGAGGAGGGCCACTCGCATGATCAGGGGGCAGC